CCAGTCCATTACTTGGGCCTAGTTAAAAGGTAAAATGAGGCACTGAAACGAAGTTTAAGAAATGTTTATTGAAAATGTATGTGCAGATTGAAAATACCTGAAAAAGAAAAGGGAAAACGTAAAAGTGCATTTAAATTGTAAAAGTAATTCTAAAGTGATTGTACTTGCCCTCTGGTGTGGTCTGCCTCAGGTGCTCCGGCCAAAAGAGTCCCCGGGGAGCCAGAGCACCTTAAGAAGGTTCCGGGGCAGCCAACCATGTTATTTGGAGGAGGGGAGCACAATTTTTTAACTGGTTCTATTTAGTATTTTAAAACATTTGAACACTGCCAATTTAAATAAAGATATATATATTTTTGTAAGTAATATATAATTGGATGTTGTTTGGGCACTGTTTTTGATAATTAGCTTTTAAATATTAAATATAGAGTTATTGGAGTTACCTGCTCGTTATAGTGGCGTCTCCCAATTAGCACAGGGCCTTTAAAAGAAGCCAGCCTCACATTGTTCAAGAGAGGTGCTGTGTGAGCGCAGGTACTGCCATGCCTGTTTTTATTTTTGGAACTTTTGTAAATAGTTTTTGTCTTGTTGGGAATAAATGCACTGGGATCTGCACAGAAAACTGGCTCAACTTGACTCTGTTTCTCTTCAAACCGCTAAGGTTGCCATCCAGGCTATTACACAGCCCTAGTGGTGATATGTCGTCCATCAGCTGTTGTTACTTCCTGTAGACGTGGTCAGTCTGATGGACCTGCTGGTCGCTCACACTGACCACACCACATCAGAATCAAAGACTTTTTAACAGGCAATGAATATTCCAAATGCTATTTGCCTTTTAATCAGTTTCCATTGATACTATCTTAACTTTTGTTGCTTTACTTAAACACCATGAAAAGCTGTTCCTGTGTGAGGTAACAAATGATCATCCTCAAATAAAAACAGAAGAAATAATGCAAACAAACCTTTTTTCATAATTTTATATGAAGTTAGTATATATAGTTGAATTTTCTCAAAGATTAATGACACTTTTCCAAGCAGTGTACCACAAATAATCTCCATTTATCTTCCCTTATGACAAACAAATAGTGCTTAAGTCTATTAAAGGTAATTGAATCTTTCTGCAGGTGGAAAAGTCTCTAAGCTCCACCAAAAATGACCCATGAGACTCATTTTCAAAAATACAGTTTGAAATGAAGGAAGTTAATAGTCGATGTTTTTATTACTTTAAAATAATCAGAATATGACAAAGTTTCTCTGGTAAAAATCAACATCTAACTGTGCCACATGGGGAACCAAGGGTCCAAACCATTTGCATCGCTCAAGAAAAATACTCACACGTATGAGTCTGGACTTAAACAATGTCAAAATAAAGGCCTGTCTCACATCTTCAGGAAGACTGCAGCCTTCATGTTCATGACCTCTGACTTGCAAAGGCTCCTATCTCCACAGAAGATCCACTTCCACTTCAATCCTCCAGCAGCTCCTCATTTCGCAGGAGGGTGGGAGCGGGAGATTCAGTCAGTGAAGACTGCGCTCTACACTACAACTGGAGCCCAACTCCTCTAAGAAGAAGTCCTTCGTGTGGTCTTAGTGGAGGTGGGGAGCGTCCTGAATTCCAAACCGTTGAGTTATGTCCCATCTGACGTCAGTGATCCTGATCCTGTCAACCAGATGACAGGATGAATCACTTCCCCAGATGGTCTACCCTAAAGAAGAGCTCCTGAGCCGCTGGAGGTGGAGGCATTCTCAAGTACTTGCTGACCACTCCTGGTCTCGCTTCATCCGGCTGTATTTCCCTGGACTGAGGTCTCAGCAAAAGTGGCATTCATCCTCCACAGACATCACAGACGGTTCTGTGGAAATAATTATGGATCTGCAGCTGATTTGGGCCTCCTGGCTCGTGGGGCCACATCTCCAAGATCCACCCCAGTCCATCAGGTCTGCTGACATCAAGGTGAAGGACAGAACATTTACCCAACGTGTCACAAGGCTGGTGATACTGCTGGCCCTCCCACATGAAGACAAAGGACCTAAGATGAGAGTTATTGTTGTTGACAGTTGCTTTTGTTGTGAGCAAATGGACTTCATACTTTTGGGGGCGGCTGTACAAAAGGCCCTTTAATGTCCATGTTCTTGTAGTGTTTGATTTGTAGTAAAGTTATTATGTCTGGTCAGTTGTAAGTCTGTGGAGTGTCCTCTTGAGGGCGCTCCTGCCTCCCACATTGTGTAAGTAGTGACTTGGGGAAAAACGTGGTTCCTGCAGCTGAAGTTTTTCTCTTAAATCCTGCAGATTGTCATTGTTAAGAGAAGTGTGCATTTATGAGTAAGTACGTCTGTAATAATGATGTGTGTGTCTTATGTTTCTAGTTTCATATTTTACTGTTGTTAGTCTGTAGTCTACATAGCTGCATGAGCAAAGCTAATTCTCTTTTCCATGTGGTTGTGTAGGTGATGTGTGTCTTAGTTTATTACTACTGTTTAATGCTGGACGTACACTGTGTGATATTTTTCAATGGTTTCACTTGGCCTCAGCTCAAACTGTTCGACCAAATCTCAGGGTTTAAAATTCACAGTTGATGATTCATGTTCTCACAGTATACAAACTATTTCAACAGAGAAACCCTCACGAGACACGACTGGACTCAAACGGGTTTGATTTTCTTGCGACAGACGTTTGTCGATCAAGAGCTGATCACCAGGGATTAATCGTTTCTCGTTACCCCATGTTTACGACACGAAGCACGACACACGATTAAGACAAAACTCGTCCTGATCCCAAAAACAGTCGCACGAGTGAAAAATCAAAACGCCTGGATTAATTGTGTGTGTTATGCTATAGTAAAGGGGACTGAGTTATCTGTGTTTGTGTGGCTTTATATGTTTATTCTGTTTATTCTGGACAATTAGTAACTGGCAATTAAATTTATGTTTATTTATTTCTGGAGAACATACACACGCACACACACACACACACACGTTCATCCCTCATCAGTGTGTACCAGTGTGTCACTCCTAATGTTCAATACAAGAACATAATCATCAACACTTGTCTCCTCATCGTCTCTTCCTGTTGAATATTCCTCTGGGCTTTAGGAGAGGTTCTGGTCGACACCCCAGAGCAGTGACGTCTTTAAACCTGAACCAGTGCAGACAGTTTGATCAAGAGAAAGTTTCTACACAACAGGTTGACTTCAGCATCATGAGCTCTGTAACTATCAGTAGTGCAGGTTCTGTACTGTGATGTCATCTAAAACTCTACTGAAACTTTTATAATCTGTCATTCTCATCTTAAACCGTTAAAAACATGACAAATAGTTTTAGGTAGAAAAGGTCAGTTTTAACGTGGGCCTGTAGCTGTTAAAATCAGAACTATCCAGACCAGACTTTGTAAGCAGTGGATGTACACAGGAGGTTTTGAGGCACACAGATCCAGAGCAAGTGAAGAACAAACTATTTAAAATAGTGATATCAAAAGCAGTCAGAGAGCGCAGACTCCGCCAAGGACTACAGTCCCCCTCATATTAATTGTGTTTTCCATAAATATTTGTCTCGTATCTTTCAATTTGGAATATGAAAGAGGATCCCATTGTCCATCCCTGAGTCAAATTTCATGGGGTTTGGTCAATAATTAACCCAGATATTGAGAAACAAAATTTTTGGCCCCATTTACCACAATGTGAACTAAAATTTCAAAGTGATCCAGAATCCAGGATTTCTTCCGGATCAGCCCCAAAATGAAATCAGTTCTCCTTTTCACATTTCCAACAAATCCTGAAAATTTCATCAAAATCAGTCCATAACTTTTTGAGTTATGTTGCTAACAGACAAACAAACAAAAACAAACAAACAGACAAACAAACAGACAAACAAACAAACAAATGCCGGCAAAAACATAACCTCCTTGGCTGAGGTAATAAAAGATGCAAATAATATCTGAATGTATTTCTCTTTGACCTTGTTAAAAAAAATCCTTGATGGGATTTTACTTGTTATTGTTGATTAAACCTGAGAATCCTTTTTATTTAGAACCAACTGTAAATCTGGTAAAAGTTGGTGATGTGTCTGTGTCCTTAAAGTTTGAGAGTTTATATATAAACACTATAAATATGTGTCAAATATTACACAATTATTTGGGGAACAAAAAAGCAAAATCTCATCTCAAACTTAACCTTTCTTAGAACACAGTTTTTTTTTACCCCACAAAGTGTTACTCCAACTACTTATACAAATACTACTCCCACTATAATACAACTAAACAAAACCAGAAGTAAAGAGTAAATTATTGGCTTGGTAAATAATCAGAAGGTAGAAAGACAGTAGACTGTTTCTACCTCCAATAGGATATCTCTATTTATAATTATATTATTATTTGAATAGAATTAAACTAAACTAAATGTATCTGTGACACATGTTGAGTTGGGAGCCTCTGTTTTGGCCTCAGCTCTGTGACTGTGGAAAATATTTTTAATGTGATTTTATGATAAAGATGCACAGTGACAGTGACACTAATGTGATTCACCTGATTCTATTGTGAAGAAAACACGAGTTCAGCTCAAACAGAAGAAATATATTCATGTTATTATGTTCTTTTTACAGACTAAGAGTTTGTTTTTACACCTGACAGTTTCAGCTGCTCTTCCTCAGAGTCACGTGAGCAGCCGAAACCAAATGAACCTCGTTGGACTGTTACATCATTCAAACACAACTGACAGAAGTTGTTTCCTGGAAAAACTGTGGGTTTGTATCCTTGTGCAATAAAAACAAAAAAATCTTTGAGGTGTTCTTTGTTTGGTTTTGCTGTTTTAGGGATATTACATGAATCTATGTTACAAAATACATACTATACATACTTTATATAGGCTAAACCAAATATATACTGTACTTTATATATATATATATATTATATATATATATTATATATATAAAATATATAATATAATATATATATATATATAAAAACATATTGAAATAATTAGTCAGTGTAAGATTGTGTTTATTGATTTTTATTAGAATTTTAAGAAAAAATCTGTTTATATATTTGAGCAGAATTATAGTAAATTATAAAAAAAGATTCATAAAAAACATTTGCATATTACACCAACCCCACACACTGTATTTTACACATTATATTTGTCCAGCTTCATGTTTAATCACAGACAAAATATTAAACTGTTTATCATCTATAAATGTATTTGGTCGTTTACATTTGGTCCACACAACATGTTCAAAATCACTGGAGCTTTTTATATCCTTGACCAAGGTACATATTATACCACTCATCTAATATGTTTTCAGCATCTCTCTGCAGTGTTTCCATCTCTGGAGGACGGACCATGTTCTCTTGTTCAACCTCTTCTTCTTGTTCAAACCTCTTCTTCTTGTTCTTCCACATCCTCATTTTGTTGTTCCACTAGTGGTTGTTTTGCCTCATCTTGTGTTGTATTTGCACGACGACGTTTTATCTTCTTTTTTTACAACATATTGTATTACTCCCCCTACTGCAGCTCCTACAGCCCCACTGACTGCACCAATCACTAGACTAGACACTATACATGGAAGAGCAAACACTACAAGTGGAACCATGACTGTTACACCAAGTAAACCTCCTAGAATGATTCCTACTGGATAGTCTTTTATGCATAACCAAAGGGTTTCAAAAATATTAACTTTGGCTATTTTGAAAATATCTTCATCTGACATGTCTCCTGATAAAGTTGCTCTGAGTTGTGCCATCTCTTGAACTATTAGTTCACCTGTTTTGTTCAGCATGTCATTGGTGTAGAACTTTCCTTCATTGTCAGCCACAGTTTTGTCGATGGTCTTCATCAGTTCTCTGATCTGGTTCTGGTTGTTTCTGTATTCATCTTCACTGTTCTTCCAGTATTTATTATCAAAGACGTGGCAGCGACCTCCACATTTCTGCACTAAGTTGTTCAGGGAGCTGTTCTCCTTCACCCACTCTTCAATCTTCATCCCCTCTGGGAGGTCATCTCCTCGAGTGAACAACACTGTGGTGTATTTCAGGGCCTCTTCACTGAAATATTTCAGTATCATGTTTACAACAGCCATCTCAAGTACTGTGTACTTCTCTATCTTCATCACGAGCAGGAAGGCGTGGGGTCCAGGAGCACACTCTGTGATGCATTTCAGTAACTCTTTGGTCGCCTTTGTGTCTTTTGGGTTTGTGTCAAAAAGTCCTGGAGTGTCGACCAGGTGAATATTACGTCCGTTCACATTCCTGGTTTCAGAATAACATTTATCTGTCCCAGAGTTTGCAGAAGTGTCTTCTTTAAAAATCTTCTCACTGAATATTGTGTTGGCCAAGCTGCTTTTTCCTGATCCAGTTTTCCCCAAAAGCACAATCCTCCACATGTCTGTGTCTAGAAAAACAACAAAAAAAGTAAAGTTAATAATAAGTGCATAGAGCAAACAGCAGGAAACATCTCTTTACATGAACTCTAAAAAAACACCCACTGGACACAGCCCCAAGGACCAGGGACTTGGACGCTGAACGATAGGAAGATATGAATACTACTATATATATGATTATTATTATTAACAATACTACTACTACTACTACTACTACTACTAATAATAATAATAATAATAATAGGCCTTTAGTTGTAGTTTTAAAAACAGCACATAAAGTATTCTTACGTGTCTTGGAGCTCATTTTGTTTAAGTGTCTTGAACACTTGTCGTGTCTTGTGCTCGTCGTTCTTCTTTACCTCTGAAGAGTGGTGTTTTATATTGGGTCTGCTTTTCTTTATGTAAAAAGGGGTGGAGTTCAGATAAATGTTTTCAAAAACAACAGTATTGATGTCATTGGATAAATGCATCACCGTGTTGTTGTGTAACAGACACATAAACCACATCCTCCTTCACTTCCTGCACACGTTTACTCACCGAGGAAACTTGAAATTTGAATATGTCTCAGTGTTTTTGATCAACGCAGTGAAGTTTTCAGCTGCTGCTAAAAGAGCAGGACTAGAGGACAAAACTGTATAAGTTAAAGTCTAAAATCAAATTATTTAGTTTTACTTCATCATTATTGTATTTTAGATAGAACCACTCACAGACTCTTGTAACAAACACAGCTGGACAAATAAAGACATTTTATTGAACTGCCAATGGAAGTCCTTTTTTTTTTTTTTTTTTAACTGAAGCTTCTCTGGTTGCACACCAAAACTTAATTTGAACAACTCACATATTAACAATAATAATAATAATACTACATCTGTTTTATATAGTGCTTCTCACAGTAACTAAGACACAGGAGAAACAAACTCAAGAAGTGAGGAAACTGTAATGTTTGGGGGTTAAAGGTGTGATGAAAAGCTGATCTTTGAGTAGTTTTTTGAAGGAGTTTAGTGAGTCTGAGTTTCTGATGTGGAGGGAAAGTTCCAGAGGGTTGGACGACCCAGGACAAAGGCTCGGTCCCCCAGGGTCTGGTGCTTTGATTTGCCTTCTGACTGTGGGCGTGAGGAGGTTTGAGGAGCTGGTCAGAGTGTGCAGGAGGCGCTGGGGCTGGAGGAGGTCAGGACGTGTGCAGGAGGCGCTGGGGCTGGAGGAGGTCAGTGAGGTGTGCAGGGGCCTGGTTATGGACGGACAGAATGTGATTATGACTTGAGTCTAAACAAAACCAGTTGGGCTGAGAACAGAACAGAAGAGTCTATGATGGAGGATGTGACATTTTTCGTTTTCTTTCACGTCACGTCTGTACACACTGTAGACAGACTCACAGCACAGTGCCCACTTCTGTGTTAAGTCCAACACTTGCACCACAAACACTGATCTCTGACCTCTGGTCAGTGTTTGGGGTTAAGCGTCGCTTCCATGCAGCATTTAATTCTGATTATGAAGCACTTACAGATCTTTAGAGATGGTTACATGTGTTTTGTTACCCAATAAATACGGCTTTGAAAGATAAAATATTTGACTAACTTGGATTTCAACCACAGGGAGCCCACACAACTCTGACATTCTCGAGGAAAATGATCACATGACCTCCTTAACGCTTTGGAGTTTAGAACAAAATGTTGTTCAATGTGACAAAACTGATTACTAAGCAAATTAGATGATAAGAAATGGATTATGCAGTGTTTTTTTTATGCCAGCCTCATTTTCATATTGTCCATTTAGTGACATGTGCAGTTCTCAGCTCCAGTGTTAAATTAGACTTGGTTCCATATCCAGAAATAATAGTCCTGAGGTGTTACTAATCTGATAAAGTTTCATGTTTGTATCATAAAAGTGAAATATTTTGGTCCTGAACAGCTCCACTCCTGAGTTTACAGTAGTTCTAAAGTCTTAGAACTTTTTTGTCAGTGTTTATGAATGTTTGCATTATGTCACTGTATCTGATCAAAATTCCACCAACAGAGACGCACTTATAAACAGTCTGTGTCTCTGTCCCAGCAGATTTATACAAAACCACTGATTTGCCTCTTCTGCACCTGCCTCTCCTGCACCTGCCTCTGCACTGCTCCTGCACCTGCCCCTCCTGCACCTGCCCCTCCTGCACCTGCCCCTCCTGCACCTGCCTCCCTGCACTGCCTGCACCTGCCCCTCCTGCACCTGCCCCTCCTGCACCTGCCCCTCCTGCACCTGCCTGCACCTGCCCCTCCTGCACCTGCCCTCCTGCACCTGCTCTCTGCACCTGCCTCCCTGCACCTGCCTCCCTGCACCTCCTGCACCTGCCTCTCCTGCACCTGCCCCTCCTGCACCTGCCCCTCCTGCACCTGCCCCTCCTGCACCTGCCTCTCCTGCACCTGCCCCTCCTGCACCTGCCTCTCCTGCACCTGCCTCTCCTGCACCTGCCTCTCCTGCACCTGCCTCTCCTGCACCTGCCCCTCCTGCACCTGCCCCTCCTGCACCTGCCCTCCTGCACCTGCCTCTCCTGCCCACAGGTCCACTCAGGTCACTCTGGTCTCTGGTACGTTCCTCTTTTACCCTCACGCTGCTCACGGATTAAACCTAAAAACAGAAAAGGTGCTGAGGTAAATAATAAAAAATTAGACTAAACAAATGAACAAACATAATATTAACAAAACTAAAATATATTACACAGATGAACAAAACTAAATGAGGAAACCAACTGACATAAACAAAAATAATAAACTCATTTCAGAATAAATAAAATAAGCAGTTCAGTTCTCCACAGCACTTTCCTCTCATCACCACATGAGGGCAGCAGAGAGCAGCTGTGTGACTGTGTGCACCTGCCAGGGACTGCACCTGCCAGGGACTGCACCTGCCAGGGACTGCACCTGCCAGGGACTGCACCTGCCAGGGACTGCACCTGCCCAGAGACTTAAGATAAATCTGTGCAAATAATATTGAATCTTTTGTTTTGTAAATTGTAAACTCTAAAGTCACTCATCACAAATGTTTGAGTAACACAAGAAATGACCTCATGTGAAGTGTTAAAATCAACTCTCACAGAATCATTTTTAACATTTTCTCAGGGTTTGTTTGAGTCACTCTCTTCTAGAATTAATTTAACATTTTTGGAAATGTTCATTAAGTAACACTGGACCAAAGTTCTTTATTAACCCCGAAATCCAGAGTTATATGAACATTTAGAGAGTAAACACATAACACTTTGTAGAGTTATCCTGATTTAACTAAACAACACACAGAGGAGTTTTATTTTTACACTTTATTTGAGTTAATTTAAGATGAAATTATGAACAAAACTGGTTCAAACTGGTCTCTGAAGTGGTGGTGGGAGGTGGCAGATTAACACTAGTGGAAGTTGAATTAACTTCAACCAGATCAATGTAACCCGCATTTGAGAGACTTTTATTGTTGCGGGTCAATTCCGTTTCACCCCGATCTCCCCCACTTCCTTTAAGTTGCGGAGTCACGTGTCACTTCCTCCTCCGCTGTGGCTGTGGCTGTGGTCTGGGCGTCGGCAAACAATTTCAATAAACTTTTAAACTACGAATCGTACAACATCCACAATTAGGTGAGTGTTTTGCCACATTATTAGAATGCTGCCGATTTAATGATCACGTTCAACAATTCCGCTAAACTACTTAATTCTGTAAGAATCGCTAATGCCACGTCTCCGATCCTCATAGAGCCTCCATATAGATTGTGCAAACTGGGCCGTGTGTGGAGAGAAGATCACAACGCGAAATTCAAAGGCACCTGACTTTCCTTTTGTATTAATAAGAAAACCGAAATGAAGGTAAAAGATTGGTTAATGTGGTCGCTAACTTTGTTTGTCGCGACCTGGATTAATTTGTGCAGTTTTAGCACAGTTACTAGTATTTGTTAAAACTCCGGTGGAATTCGTCAATTGAATTGAGCGTAGCACTTTACTTTGAAACAATATTGAGTTTATCGGCCTCTGCTTGGGCTTTGTTTGATAACTTTTTGATTTAAGTGCACTTACTGAATTTATTTTACTTTGACTTAATAACGATTAACTTAATAATTCTTAACTTAACTTAATTTAATTTAATGTAATTTAATGATTTAAATGATAAACTTAATGACTTATTGAATTTAATTGCTATTGATTTTTTTCACTTATTGACATTGAATTCATTCGTGAATTGAATTGAATATTAATTGTAATTAATTGTTGAAAATACTAATCGTTATGGACTTTTTGGGTCATTAGTCAATGACTGACTCTGATTAATGAATTAATTGATATCTTGAATGTACTGATTAAGTGAACATGAATTGAACTGTTCACTTGTGCTTGTATGTACATTTAATTTATTTTTGGTTATTTAAGACCTGTTAATGTTTTATTTAAATGATATTCATTTGAGTTTTTTTTTTGGCCTTTTTTAGGTCAGGTTTTTTCTATGGACTGATTCAACTCCAGCTTCACAGAAACTCAACTCAACTAGGAAATGAATGATGGCGAGTTTACCCAGAAACCTGAATCAAAATACTAGATAACTGGACTGTTTATTTTTTTTTTTTGTTTTGTTATTCCTGTGCTCTGTAAAAATTTATTTTCAATATACTTCACCCAACTTCATATTCATGTCTTATGTCTCTTCATTCACACTCGGGCTCCTCAAAGAACATTCTGCTGATGCTGCTTTTGTAAGTAAGTGTTTATTTATATAGCGCTTTTCACAGACATTTTCTGCCCCCAAAGACGCATTATTCAGCATTATTCAGCATTATTCATTCTGTGGCCGTATCTGCCCCAGCCCTAACACATCTTCGTTACATCAACTTCAACACACATTTAACTTTCAAATATTTAAATGACACTTTTTCTGTGTTACCCCTGAAATGTTAACCCTCCATGTTTTTCTGTGTGTGAAATAAACTTAAATTAAAATCATATAAAAAACAAACTTTGCATTAATTTCTCTTCCTTTTGTGTAAAAAGTTCCTGCCTTTTGGATTTCTTATTTTTTTTCCACTTCACTGATGTAAAACTATGATAAATATTGACCAAGAATTATCCACTAAAACCACCACTACCACTACAAAAAAACCTGAAACTCGTCTGTTCTGTGTCTTTATGTCTGCGGGGTCAGAGCGGCTGCAGTGTGCTCTGTCACAGGGAGGGGGCGCCCTCATCTCATCCTCTGATGAAGACAAATCCATTTATCAATAAAAAAAGAGAAATCCAGAGAATCAGACGCAACGGAAATGACTCATCTGCTCTGGTCTTTCACTACTAAAACATACTGTTCATTTAAGTCTGTGTGTAAAGTTTGTATTTATAAGTCGAGTTCATGTAACATCGTCATCATCTCTGTGGTAGAATTTGCTGTGGAACTGTCAGATTACAGATGTTTCTGGTTCATTTCTCTGTATTTTCTGGGTTTATCCACACGAAACAAAAACCTGGCACAAAGTTCAGCCTCTTCTCTGTCTGGAGAAATAAAGAAAAGTCAAATTATTTTTTCACAATTTTCAGAAAGTGGCGTTATTTTAAAAACATAAACTGTTTGCAGTGTAGAGAGTCTCATTATTCACCACACTGAGTTTAGAAGCACTTTTTTTTTTTTAAACAGATTTTTCTGTGAAGATAAAGCTAAACATTGGCATGCTAATGTGAACTTCCTGATATTCTGTAATAAAACCCTTTTTAATTAGATGCAGACAGAACACAGCAGATTTACTCTGACCTCAAGAGCTGTTTATACAAAACACGTCTGGACTGGGGCAGGACACATTTATATTAAATCTGTCCATGTTCTTCCTCTTATAAAATAAAATAATCCTTTTATTGTCTCCGATGAAATTTGTCTTGGGACAGAGGGTAACATGCTTTATCAAAAAAACACAAAACAAAAACAGGACAACACAACAGAAAGCAGCACATAAACAAACACCACAGTCCAGCGGTGTCCAAACTTTTATCATCAAGGGCCACAAATCTGAACACAGATGAAGCAGAGGCCGATCGAGGGCCACAGACTGATGCTGAATACAGTGAATAAATGAAATATGTCCATGTTTAACACATTAAAATGATCCATCAGTTTATTCATGCTAAGATCCTCAAAGCCGCACACTAAATATTTAATATTGGTTTTATCAAGGTAGATTTTCAAAAAACTTACAATAAAAAGTTCATTTTTCATTGCTGCAAGGCAATCTGGGCCAGTTCTCCTGGAACCCTGAGGGCCAAGAAAAAATTGTCTGAGGGCCGCATTTGGCCCACGGGCCATAGGTTTGGACATGTCTGCCATAGAATAAAAATAGATACGAGACCAAGTCTGAAAACGAGTGAAGCACCAACACGACCTTTAATTATTCTTAACAGTCAAACCTCTGCATTCTTGGATTCTATTCATTACTGCACCTTGTCTGAACCTATGTGCAGTTTTGTCTTTTATAATTATTTTTGAGCTGCAGTGTCTGAGTTTAACAGATTAACGACCAGTGGCACAAAAGAACGTTTCAATCTGTTCAGTTTACAGTTTTGGACCCTGAACCTTCTGCCCGACGACATCAACTCAAACTGACTGTGAAGAACATGGGGTCGGGTCTCGGGGGCATCAGGCTGAGCAGAGACTCCCAGACTTCCCCCACCCCAGACACTTCCTCCAGCTCCTCCAGGGGACCCCGAGGTGTTTTCAGGCCAACTAAGAGACACAGTGGAGGAGCAGCGGCTCTACTCCGAGCTCCTCACTCTGTCTCTAAGGGAGACGCCCGGACGCCCTGCGGAGGAAACTCATCTGTGTCGCTTGTATCGTGGATCTGGTCCTTCAGGTCATGACCAGAGGTGAGGGGAGGAACGGAGACTGACGCTAAATCCAGACTCAGCTCCTCTTCACCACAACGACCGATACAGCGACCGCATCACTGCCCACGCTGCACCTGTCCACCTGTCAATCTCACGCTGCACCACTGCACCTGTCCACCTGTCCAGTCTCTCACGCTGCACCTGTCCACCTGTCAGTCTCACGCTGCACCTGTCCACCTGTCAGTCTCACGCTCCGTCCTCCCCTCACTCGAGAACAAGACCCCGACAGACTTGAACTCCTCCACCTGAGGCAGAGACTCTCCACTCGCCCGGAGACGACAAGACGACTTTTTCCGGTCGAGAACCAACGACCGCGGGTTTGGAGGAGCCGATCTTCACCCCAGACGCTTCACACTCGGGTCAAACGGCCCCAGAGCTGCAGGTCCTGGTCTGATGAAACCAACGGGACGACATCAACATCCCCAAACCGAACCTCGGGGACTTGAAGAGATTCGGTCCAGGAATTTTTAGTTTGAATGACGCAGATTTTCAGAAACTCGAGACTGAGATTAGTCAGAGATGTTACGTTATCAGGACAGAAATATAAAACATGTGGAGTGATTTTTTTGTTCTGTGTGATGTTTGAGCTGATTAAAATGAGACTGTGGTTAAAATACATGATTCTAAAATGGAGGCTGCAGTCGTATGAATAATAAAATAATAAAATAATAATATAATAATCCTGTTTGTCACGCAGACACGAGCCTCACACTGTCCCACTTTGAGCAGAAACACTCAGATGTTTATGAGGAAGCGTCGCAGCTCCACACGCCGGAGAATTACACCAGGATTTAACTCGACTCATTTACACAAACAAACGACACAGATCCCGGCTCCGTTTGACAGTTTTAATTAAAGGAAACCGTTTCGTTTAAGCCTGTTTGAATAATCCTGCACTTACCTCCTTCTGAACATCTGTGCTGCGCTTCACTTTTAGACGTAAACCTTCACTTACACGATGAAGCAGGGTTATCAAACGTATCAAAAACCAGATCCTAATCCACACAAAAACTCATATCGAAAGTAAATACACATTTTTTTGCAGGTATTGATACTAAAAGAGTCAAACTCACAAGACGGAAATGAGCCTTTCTGGGCCGATCAACCTGTCGCAAAATCACAACAAATTAACTTCAAAACCCAAAGTGCAGATTAGGGACGGACATGATTAGTTGATTAATCGATAATTGATCATTAAGAATTTCATGGATTCCGTTCATTTTACTGGACAAACTGAATGTATGTGTGTGTGTCGTGACCAAACAGGTGTGTACATGTGTCTCTGCATCAGAAGGAGCGAGACACAAACAGTGGGTCAGTCTGTAACGAACCGAAGCACAAATGTGGATTTAACCAGGATTTGTAGAAGAAATTCCACACTTTCCGTTGCGTTGGGACAAGTGTGAGTCCATGTGCACAGTGGATAAAGCAGCACATATGTTTCTGTGTCCAGTGGGAAAAAGTTTTTCCAGGTGAGAGTCGCTCAATGTGGATGACGAGGCCCCGCCCCCCTCCCCCCGTACGCTGTCCTGGTTTTGACAAACACAAATCTGGTCACACTGACCTGTATTCACCTGAGTCATGTCTTTTAATCCAACACAAGTTGAACCACATCAGCGACACAAGAGCTGGAGTTTTATCTTCACTTAGTTTATGTAAATTAGTGATGTGGTTTTAAGTTTTGTTTCTGTGAGATTTGAACAAAACTGAATTAAACACATTATAATGTCAAACAGCTGATGTGGATCTAGAGTCGTTATGTTTATATGTCGTAAAGTTGAATTTATTGATGCAGATTAGTGCAGATAGTAATAATAATGATGATCATTTTAATATAAAAACGTTCATGATTAATCGATAATCGATCATTAATTCTTCTGACGATCGATTAAGAAAATGTCATCGAATGTCCGTCTTTAGTGCAAACATAAAGGTACGAGCTAAACTAGGGTGACCGTATTTCCGTTTGTGAAAACCCGGACACTTTCCCGGGGTGAATGTGGAGCCTCAGCATTGAGCTGCAGTCGTCCTTCACTAGACTGAGGTTCACCTTTCGTGGTCTCGTCGTTTCGCTTTTTTTTTTTTTTCTTTTTTGTGTCAATTTTGCATGTTTTTTTTTTTTTTACAAACGTCTGGGTCGAGCGTAAACCAGGTCTAAACCAGGACTAATCTTGGATTTACGAGAGAGAACGTCGCAGTTTATCCACAAAGCGCGATCGGGAAATGGCCGCGTTTACGTCCGTGAGGTGCGGAGCTGAGCTGCTCCTTTCTCCTGAGGTCACCCTGTCCCGACACTGAGTCCTGTTTTAGTTCTGGTCTGATTTTAGTCCTGGTTTAGTCCTGGTTTAGTCCTGGTTCAGTCCTGGTTCAGTCCTGGTTTAGTCTTGGTTCAGTCCGTGTCGTAGGCAGTGCAAAAGTTTGATATAATCTCGGGTTAACAGGCAGGTGCGGTCCTGTACTGGCAGGTGCAGGACTCTGCTCTGTCGGCTCCATTATGGAATAAATGAATCTTCAGTTCGTTACATAAAGAAGGAAGAAAATAACAAAAGGACGACAGCAGAAATAAGTTTTAAGAAGGAAGTAAAAAGTGTTGCACCTGTCGATCCTGTCGGAGAAAAGTGTATAAAGTTTGTGCTGAGGTTTTACAGCCTTAACACAGATATAATAATTGTAAAATATAAAGTTGATACTTGGTGGATTTCACCTGTCGCAGGTTATTTTTAGAACATAACTCCCGCGATAAACGAGGGACACTGAACTCTCACCTCAACCTGTGCACATGGACTCACACTTGTCTCGACCGGGACGGAAAACGGAGAATTTCTTGTAAAAGTCGTTGTTAAATGTGCATTTGTGCTTCAGTGTGTTTCAGACTGACCGACTGTTTGTGTCTCGCTCCTTCTGAGTCACAGACGCTACGAGAGACGCTCAGTTTAATGTCCCCAATGAACGGAAAACCCGGACGCCCAGGACAGGACGCAAAATATGGACATGTCCCGGGAAAAACGGACATTTGGTCTCCCCAAGCTA